GCAGTATTTGTCCTTCTCTGTCTGGCTTATTTCACTTAGCATAATGCCCTCAGGTTTCCTCCATGTTGTCCTAAATAGCAGGATCTCCTCAGGCTTTCAGTTGGGTCTGCCAAATGAGAGTCACTGACAAGGTAAGGGCAGGAAGAAATTGAGGATGGGTTAGTAATTCTTCTGGTTCCCTTAAAACCCCCTATAGCATGTTGTCTGTGTCCCTGTGCAATACGTGACAGCTCTTATCAGCCATCTCTCTCCTTCCAGCCCTGCTCCAGGGTCCAAAAATAGTTCTCTACTTTCTTTCTTCACTTCTAGGAGTGGTTGCTGTTACTCACCCTTAGGAACTACTCTATCCTTTGCTGGTTTCCCAAAACCCTGATTAGTCTTCAGGAATTATCCCATGACTAACCTCCCCACAATTTCATGAGCTTCAGTATATCCTTTCTTTCAAGACTCTAACTGATATATCAAGAAGGAAAGAATGACAAAATTTGATTTAAAACTTTTGCTTAATAAAACAACCACACCACCAGCAAAGGAAAGGAGCGGGGGAGGATAGAAGGAACAAGAAGTCACAGACAGGAAGATTTTTGTAATGTCTGTAACTGACAAAGACCTGTCATCCAAACACATAAGGAACTACACATCAATAAGAAAAATGGGGAAGAGGTACAAACAGGAAATTCATAGAGGAGGGAACTAGAATAGGAAAAAAACAAAACAAAGTAAAAACCCAAGCAATTATAAAGTTTCAGTCCCTACACAACTTGAGAGCCTCATCACATCTTCTGCTTCCTGGGCACCTGTGGGTGGAGAGATGGCTGGGAGATAGGCACCTGAAGCAATCCAGAGGGCTCAGTCTTCAGGCTCATCAGGGAATGACAGCAATAGGGCAGTTGTGGGAGGGGTTACAGAGGAAGTCACTGAGGGAAGAGGTTCAGGAAAAGACCCAGGCTGGGGTGGTATTAATGGAGTTGAATTTCATGGGAGCCCGGGGGGAGATCCAGGCAAAGAAGTGTGGGTGGGGACAGATGACAATAAACTTTGTTAGGGCAGGTGGTAAATTGAGAAAGGTCATCCCCAATGGTCTCTTATTTGCTCAGAGAATGGGAAAGAGAGAGAGAATGGCAAGGACTGCTGACATCGTGCAAAGGTGGAGGTTGAGGACAGACAATCTCCTGACTCAGCTCTTCTACACCAAATTGCATCATTGTTCCAAACCAGCCTTTCTAAATTTCATGACTCCCTCCTTAAAATCATACACTTCTGCTCAACTGGACAACTTATAATTTCCTTTTAAATAAATTGCCTCCATCTAGTATTAGTATACTCAAGTCCCAAAATGCTTCTGTTGGTAACCAGGGTTATTTAAATTAATTTTTCCCATTTTACTGAGATATACCTGACATACAGCTCTGTGTAAGTTTAAGATGCTCGGCACTTTAAGAATGATAAGACTATACTGAGTAATATTCTTTATCCATTCATCCATCGATGGACGCGTAGGTTATTTCCGTGTCTTGGCTATTGTAAATATGGCTGCTGTGAACGTGGGGGTGCAGATATCTCTCGACATTGTGTTTTCATTTCCTCCAGATAAATACCCAGAAGTCGAATTGTGGGATCATATGGTAGTTCTGTTTTTAATTTTTTGAGGACCCTCCACGCAGTTTTCCATAAGCGGCTGCACCAGTTTACAATCCCACCACCAGTAGACAAGTGATCCCTTTTCTCCACGTCCATGTGAGCACTGGTTATCTGTCTTTTTCATGATGGCCATTCTAACAGGCTTGAGGAGATATCCCACTGTGGTTTTGATTTGCATTTCCCTGATGATTACTGATGTTGAACATCTTAAAAATCTTTTAAAGGGTTGGAAAAGAGGTAATGCAGTGAAACAGTTATTTGGTTGTATCTTTTATATTCATTTGGGACAAATCAATAGGATTTGCAAATAAAAATAGAAAAAAATTTTTAACAAAGTCATATAATTCCTCTTTCAGGATTCTAGTACAACTTAGACTAAGAATTTCCCAAGTACAACTAGAAAATTAGTTAATTTACCTGTATTTTGTTACTGGAGCTCCACATTGAGTTCAGTGCAACACACACTGTTGAGTACACACTGTTGGGTACCTGTTAGGTTCAAGGTACTGTGTTTATATGACTGGGGAGAGGAAGGAGTTGTATGAAATACAGGAAGCCTTTGACCGTGGAAATGTTGTATAACGCTTGTACATAAAATAGCATTATTCCAAGTAATTTCAATCTCCAGTAGTCTGCACTTTTCCTGCAGGCATAGAGGTAGATGTATGATCTCCAAATAGGTGTGTTTTCCCATCACAACTGACCTTCAGGTTTGCTTAAAGCAATACTGCTGCTCCTCCCGCCTCACCTTTGTTTAATGAGAGCCATTTCCTAATGCCAACGTTGGGTTAATGGACTGAGATGGGAGAAAATCAAACGTATCTCTTCGTTTTACACCAGATTGCCTTTCTGCCTTGTGGCTTTAATCACTCAATCCTACTCACATCTGCCATAATAACAGTTATGGGTTTTCTCCTGACTTCTTACCCAGGAGGGTATGTCAGCATAGAGCAACATCTCCCGAAGAAGGGAAGGGCAAATTCTTCATCTCTTTCCAGCATCGTAGGTAATAATTTTCCTCTGCAAACCCTCAAGGACTACTTCTTTTGGCTTTCTCATCTACTATTCCCACAGGTTCGTGGCTCTGTTCTGATTTATGCGTTTTCGTCTATCCTCTTTCTTCTGAGATAAGTTTTAATTATGTAGACAGATTGTAAAAGTCTCTTTCTTCTTGTAAACAGCTATTTCTCGGTTAGTACTAGATTTTGTTTAACTGGTTTCCTCCTACCCGACTCTTCTCATGCACCCAGGAATTATGTGTGTTCATTGTTTAACTGCAGCATCAAGACAAGAGAAAGCTGGCTTCTCTTGGTTGCTTTCCTTGAGGGATTCAGTCTTGGAACACCTCAAATTGCAAATCTCCCTCGGGAACTGTTCTTTGTTGCATGTTTGGAAAGCCCGTAAGATTTTAGTTTAGAACCTATATGAGAGCGAGGTACCACCCGTCATATATAGCTGTATGATGATACTCTCGGTTCTACGTATTTAAAAGCTTACCCTACTATCAAAATCAAGAAAGTGCTTGAAATACTCAAAAGCCCTCATGAAAATATTAGTAGTTGCCCCTTCCTCAGGGGATTCAAGACCAGTGGATTCTAGAAAGCTCCTCAGGTAATGCTGGCAACCAGCACTCTTACTCTGGCCCCTTCTGGGTAATAATTAAAATATAAAGAGGGGCGCCTGGGTGGCTCAGTCGGTTAAGTGTCCGACTTCGGCTCAGGTCATGATCTCACGATTCATGAGTTCAAGCCCCGCGTCGGGCTCTGTGCTGACAGCTCAGAGCCTGGAGCCTGTTTCCGATTCTGTGTCTCCCTCTCTCTCTCTGACCCTCCCCAGTTCATGCTCTGTCTCTCTCTCTGTCTCTAAAATAAATAAACGTTAAAATAAAATAAAATATAAAGAAAAAATGTATTTATAAAACAACTTTTTGTTGTTGTTCTGCATAAACATTTTTAACTATTTGTTGGATTTCTTTTTTCTAATCAGGGGATCACTCTACCACATTTCCTTATAATACAGATCTCATAGGTTACCTTTGAAGCCCACCATTTATGTGAAAACTGGTTTTGCCAAGAACAGCTCAATATTATCTTTTAACCAGCCAACAATTTTCCACAGCAGGCTTTTAACTTTTACCTTGCATCTCACCAAACACCTCTTCGAAAAGGCCAAATCGATATTCTCCCAGGAGTTTTTGAGGCATCCTTGGAGAAAAAAGAGAGAGAACTTTTAGACACAGCAGTGTGTGTGATGTCCTCACAGTAAAGAAACATTCAGCTCATCCAAAGAGGGGGTGTGGTCTGTAGCCAAGGAAAAGGGCCATGGTCTTTGGCCAGTGCTAGATACAAAGCCGTGACCTTGAGCTCATTAGCTGGACTGTGGAACTCACCAGGCAGGCTGCTGCATATTTGCGTGGCAGTTCATGGGCAGCAGACCTTCTTACCTTGACTTTCGGTGAGAGTACCTAAGCATCCCGATATTGATGCAAGAGCGTATATGTGTTTGTATTTGTCCAAAAGGAGAGTCTGCATTTTCGTTAGATTCTCAAACGTGGATGCAACTTACAAAAAGTAAAATGTTAAGATTACACTAAATGAGATTGTTGTAAAACAAAGTCATTTCAACATTTCTTTAAATAAAGTAACTTTTCATTGTGGAGGTGGATTTCTGTAATCTGAGGTACACATCTGTACTCCGTGTTATTGTGCGAGAAGCCTTTTAACTTTGACCTTTTAATATTTATCCTTTTAGGCGTTTGAGGGATTTTTAATGTACCCTTTCAGTTGGAGAAATCTATTACTTTTACATGAAAGGGAAATGATAGATTGAACCCTCCATTTTTGAACTTTATGTATTTTTCAGACATGAAGTGATTTTTCCCCTTTTTTTCTATGAACGTGTTTTTCAAAACTCCTTCAACAGTCTATCCTGATAGGTCTTCTTTCCCCTCACAGTCATCTTAAGGTCACTGGAACCTGCTTTACTCTACAATAGAGGGTGGCTTAAGCCTGTCTATACTGCCCCTAATTAAATGTGAAAGTGTTACTTATTAACTGTAGGATACGGTGAATTCCTTAGATTCTTTAGCTACAATAAAGCTTTATTATAGAAAATTGCCATTTTTAGGGACACGCTCCTACCATCTCTTCTGTCTTCTGAGTGTTATGGTTCACGTGAGCCCTCACCGTCACTGACATGCTGCATACTTATGCTGTGTTTGGGAAGATATGTCATCAGTAAGGTACAATGTGGATTTTTAATAATTCTAGGTTACTTCATGGAATGAGCACCTAATAGAACAAGAAAGGATCAAAACTCTATTGAAAAACAAATCATGTGGTCTTCAGAAATGAGGAGAAATGCAGCCATCTGAAATGGTCATGAACCCCAAACAAGTCTTCCTCTCGGTGCTGATATTTGGGGTAGCGGGGCTACTCCTGTTCATGTATTTGCAAGTCTGGATTGAAGAGCAACATACAGGTAACACATCAACCCTTTTCCCCTATTTTAATTATAATGGCCATTTTCAATTAAATAAGCTGTGATGTCTACAGAACTATGTAGAAGGTCACCTTATTTCCAGCAACAGCAAAAATTAGACACAAATTAAAATCCCCAGCTCCTAAAAGAAAGGATAATTATGCAATTCTGGTGGGCATTTGCTCTGGGGCTTGGGATAATACTTGGAGTTTTTGTTACCTCAGTAGGGAGCAGCATAGCCTTTTAGCCCAGCAAGGACTGCTTGTGAAAAATTTGCCTGCTCAAATGTGTAGGGGTGCCTGGGTAGCTCAGTCGGTTAAGCATCTGACTCTTGATTTTGGCTCAGGTCGTGATCTCACTGGTTCGTGGGTTCAAGCCCTGCGTCGGGCTCTGCACTGACGGTATGGAGCCTGCTTGGGATTCTCTTTCTCCCTCTCTCTCTGCCCCTCCCCCGTTTGCTCTCTCTGTCTCTCTTTCAAAATAAATAAACTTAATAAAAAAATGTTTAAGTGTGTAGCATGCGTCCTACCTTTGGTGTGTCCGCTAAGCATTGGGCACAAACGCAGTGAGCTAAATATACAGCTAAATAACTCTTCTAAAATTCCTTCTTATTTTTTGTGTCAGTACTCAAAATGGCACATAAATTCTTTAATATCTTTACTATAAGGCAGGAGTTTACAAACCCTCTCTGTAAAAGATTGCATAGAAAATATTTTAGGCTTTGTAGACCCTGCCATTTCTTTCAAAACTACTCAACCATGCCAGTATGTCACATGAGCAACCCTACATTACATGAACACAAATGGACCAGGCTGTGTTCCAATAAAACTTTATTTACAAAAACAGGGATTGGGCTGGATTTGGTCCACAAGTAGTAGTTTGCCAATCCCTGCCAAACTGGTACTTTCATCATCCAGTTTGCCATTGCCACACATTGGGAACACCTCAATCACTGTTAAAATGAATTATGTTTATGATGATTGACTTAGAACATTACAGAAATATATACATATATATATTATAAAATTCAGTTGTCTTCCGTAAGTATAAATAGACATGGCTTATGATTGTTATGGAAAATAAAGTAAAAGCAGAACAATTTCTTAATTGTGTCTAATTGTGGCCTATTTTTAAATCATTCTAGATATAAAGCCCTTAAGAATCTACTCTGAAAGAGAATTCAATACTGAGTCACAAACATGATACTTTTTAAAGTTGTTTCCATTTCTAAATCCCCTTCCTTGGATTATTGTCTTATACATTTTGAATTAATTTATATAGTAACTCTTGTGAAAAGAACTTGCATGTAATTATTTTCTAGAGAATATGTAACATTGTCAAAACTTATTCTTTTTTTTTTTTTTAATGCTTATTTATTTTTGAGTGAGAGACAGGACGTGAACAGGGGAGGGGCAGAGAGAGGAGATACAGAATCCGAAGCAGGCTCCAGGCTGTGAGCTGTCAACACAGAGCCCTATGCTGAGCTCGAACACATGAACTGTGAGATCATAACCTGAGTCAAAGTTGGATGCTTAACTGACTAAGCCGCCCAGGTGCCCCTGTCAAAACTTATACTTAATTTCCATTATAAGTTTCATGAACTGTAATATTTTCTAAGCTTTCGATATTACTATAATAATTTATCATAACTTATAATATTTCATGAAACCATCTTGATAAAATATAGAGGCTATTTTCTCCTGCAGTATAGATTTTCTAAGCCCTCGGTAGGTGTTTGTTGAATGAATGATAAAAAGATGAATAAATAGACTGAAAACTCATTGCAGACTACACATTAGAACACAGCAAAGGAGTAAGAGTCAGAGATCTTATTTTTCATATTTTTATGATCTAATTTCATAGTCTTATAACAAATTTCATGAGGAAAGTATTGCAACAAGGCTCCAATCCATATAAGAAAATGTATTCATATATATAAACCATGGGAGAAATGTTATAGTTAGAAACTACGTGATTTCTGAAGAAACCGGTCATATAATAATACCTTACAAATATACTGAAGTTTACAAAATGGGCCATAGGCATCAATAGCCACCATTTACTGAAAGCTTATTAAGTGCCAAGTGATTACATGTATCTTCTCTAATCCTAATGGAATCTTCCCAGGTGTGATATTGTAAGTTTATAAGTGAGGAAACTGAGGCTCGGGTAGATAAGGAACTTATCCCAGACCTCACATGTGCAGATCTAGGCATAGAGGCATTTGTGCCTCTCCAAAGTCTATGCCCTTCCCCAACACATTGCATCTGTGTGGGGTGGTGGAAACGTGAGTATTGTTACCCCCTAGTGTACAGACAGGGTAACTGAGACCCAGAAACTAAGTGGCTTGCCCAAAGGTGCAAAGGCTAAGAGTTTCCAAAGTAAGATCCATGTCGAGACTTTCCTGCTTCTTATGTTCCCTAAAAGAACCTCCTACCCAAAAAGGTGGATAAGATAAACACGTAATAAATAATATCCTATCAGTCGAGTTGTTTTTAAATCCATGACTTGTAAACCAAGCTATTCACAAGGTCGATTCTTAGTTGAATTTATAATTTCTCCAAGCTGGGAAATTATTTTGCCTAGTTAAGATGGGCTTATACTATAATAAATAATAATAAATAACATTTATTCTCTTAAATGTTATTTGTAATTTGCTAGTACTTTCCCTGATTCTCTATATGTCTTAAATGCATTGTGTAGTATTCCACAATCTACTCAGGACAGGGAGTATAAATGCTCGAACCAGGATTTTTTAGATAACTATCTTACTGAAGAAAAGTTTTCTTCTTTTTCAATAAGAAACAACTTCCATCTGGAGTTTTGCCTTTAACCAGGCTAGTGCCCTGGGTGGTAATTCTGTAGTTTTCCAGATAGACCGGTATCTGTGTATTTTATACATGTTTTAAATAACATCAGGAGCATCAGGCATTTTTAGAAGCAGTTTCTTCTTAAATCAGAAAAATATCTGAACGTGTGCTTTGATGTCAAGTTAAAAATGAGAATTTTGTGTTTTGGACATTTTAGAGCTGTCACTCAAAGGACTGTGGAAGATGAGTTTATTTTGGTTGCTGAAACCTTCTATAGGTAGAGCAGATTTTAAAACTCTGAATGGTTTTGATCTTGTATCCATTTCAGTTGTGTATGAAAACTCTTGGGTTTTTTTCATGCTTCTTATTTGAGTCCTTTAAAATATAATAAGATATGGGATATTTTCTAAGCTTTCCTAGGTTTCCTGGGTTCTTCTGTTAAAATAAAATGCTTTAAAATTACAAAAAATCTTAAATATGCTCTGATATGCTAGTAAAGGTTATGAATAGACAAAATTTCTTTGGAAGTGAAGAGGAAAATGTGTGACAAAGAAAGTGAATCTATCCAATTATACAACAGAGAGTTCTGTAATAACACCCATTTTTCAATAGCACACCAATTAAGTTATGCATTTCTTTATGCTAATATGGATGTGCTATTATGAATTTTATTTTATAATTTCTTCCCTAGTTGTTAAGAGTACAAATTTCATATTTAGAAGAATATTGAAATCTCAGATCTACTTGTTAGCTGTGTGACCCTGGGCAAATAACTCTATGACACAATCTCCTCATCTGTGAAATGGGGATAATAATATTTTCCATGTAGGGCGGCAGGGAGGATTAAAGGAGACTTAGTATGGTGCCTGGCAAGTAGTAGTGAACGATGGATGTGAACTGTTGTTATTATTCTGGAAATGATACAGAGCACCTGCAGACCAGCTTTTTCAGAGTTATCACGGTTAAGACTCAGCCGCAATTCAGTAAAACAATCTTAAGCTTGTGCCTTGCCTGATTAAGAAAAAAAAAAAAAAAAAAAAAAAAAAAAAAAAAAAAAAAAAAAAAAAAAAAAGCTCAATTCCAACTCCAGTTAAAATAGTTAGGAGAGTCTCACTGGCACAAAGCCGGCATGTTTCACAGCAGAGGAATTGGAAGGATGATCAGGTTGAATGCAGAGACGAGAGTCAGTGTCCAGGAGGATCTCTGGTCTACGCAGGGTGCCTCCAAGGTCAGGGTATCCATTCATGCAATTGCGTTTTTGTAAGATTTAACAATTGACCGTGCCAAACTGGTGAATACTGAGATACAGTAGGGAACCAGCTATAATCCCTGTTCTCAAGGAGACTATAGTGTCACAGACTGTAAGGGAGAAAATGGTCTTGAGTTCAGGCCAAGGTGCTGGCACACAAGGACAGTCCATTGTGACAGAAGAGAGACAGGCCCTCCATTATGAGGCACAATAATGAGTTGGGACCAGAAGAAAGAGCCCAATCAATTGTCAGTGATGGAATTGCTGATCTGATGGAAGTGATGGGGGGGTGGGATAGGATTAGCAGGCATAGAGGACCAGAGCAGAGCAGAATGCAGAATGGATATATCTACAGAAAAGATGTGTTGATGAGGGCCAGTTCAGGATAAATCACAAGAATGGATCATTTTTTCCCCAGCTACTGCTGAAATTTACAATTTGATGCCCTCCTCCTCTAGGTACAATGTTAGTGCTAAATAGAACAAATACCAAAAGGTGTGGTACATAATTGTTTTATATGTATGTGCAATAAGACCTAGTTAGGACCCTGTCATATCAGAGTCAGAATCTCAGCTTTAGAAAAGAATTTATTGTTTAAACACTATAAATTGGTTACATCACTCTCCTGTTTAAAATATTTTAGTTATATCTCATTCTTTTCCACAAAGTCTCCCTGGGACCCACAATGCTGTGTGCGGTGTAACCTCTGTCTGCCTCCACTGGCTCACCCTCCCTTCCCTCAAGGCACTTCTGGGCTCCACCAGGAAGTCATCTTCCAGAAAACCAAACCCCTTGCTGACTCAGCGCTCTCACCATGAAAGAAGCTGGGATGCTCTTCTCCAGCTCTCACCCGTCCTGGCTTAGTTCACATGTCACCTGCTTCATCAAAGCAGCCAATCAGCCAAACAGCCCCAGAGCTAATCAGTCAGACCCCCATCTTC